TGTGCGGAGCTTAAGTTTTACAAGGGGTGGCTTTGCTTAACCTCATGAGGTTAAGCAAAGCCACCCCTTGTAAAACTTAAACCCTTCATGAACTTCCTAGCATTATGCATAATGCTAGGAAGTTCATGAAGGGTCGTGCCGCCGGGAGCTTGCTGTTTACTCGCATTCGGCGATTCTATGTGCTTATTTATCACGTCTGCGATATCTTTGCCGGTCACAGTGTTGTCGTCTACAGATATTTTACGTACACTTTGGGCGCAACGTTTTTTTTTTAGCTTTTTATTGAATTCACTGTCTCCCGTACTCTCATTGCTCGTTGATAAAGGTTTCGAACGATCGCCCATGATACTCCGATTTGGCTTTCTTTGTAGTGCAGACAATCAGTTTCTTACTTATTTGAAATCAACAAGAATATCAGTACCTCAGTGTTTCAAAATTCGGTGCTACATTTTATTTTTGTGATAATTTGCTAATGCATGCTGTCGTTTATACTGTATTTTCGAATTTTGCGCTTTCTTCCTTTTTCTGCACCAGTGAAAATCCGGAGTTACAAAAATAGTTTAGCTTTTGGGAGAACTTGCTATAGGCAAGATTAGGGTGGTTTTCAAGACACACACTCACAATCGGTCGATTCGACTAAAGTTTAAAAGTGGTTTACTGAGTTGTCATTCCTTTTCCTGTTGAAATTTGTGCCCTTTTCTGGATTTTTTTTATTTACGACTGACCGATGCTAGACAATGTACAAGGATATGATGACTTAGGTCATCAAATAATAGACCTGGCCTCATGTCATATACATTTACGTCTGTTATGCACTTGTCGAGAGGTCGCACTTGTTACAGTGAATCTCGTGGTGAAGGTGACCGCATAAAACAGCCATAAGCAGCGATATCGTGTTTCAAATCGCTCGTGTATATGCCGTTTGAGAGCATGTGCATATTTCTGTCACCGATTATGAAAACAGCCGGAATCGTGGAACCGAGAAATTCCAGAACTCGTTCAAAATACCATGATATTTTTCCTTGTTCTCACCCGGATGTCTGCCACGGCCATCACAATTTGCTAGGTATGCACAGCCAAAACCTCAACAGTTGTGGTAATATCCTAATGTTCTTCTGCAATATTTAATGAAATATCAGATTGGAGCTTCTTAACTCAACCTTCCTCTTTTTTTTTGTCTAGAGTAGCAAAGTTCTAATTAGAAAAATAAGGATTTTTTTTTATTCTGCGAAATCTATGTTTTAGTAAATAGCAATGAATTGAATTGAAGTTCAAAGCAGCGCGCTTTAAAATGAATTTCAGAAAATATTCGGTCAGCGCTTCTGAATGGTTCATTAAAAAAATGTATTTCTCAGTATTGACATCCTAAAAGCGATGTGCCAGCCATAAAGGCAGTGGAGCTAGTATTGTTTTACGGTATCAATTAATCATTCATATAGTGACCTTTGACAGGTCGTCAATCTATGAAATTCTCAAAATATGGTTTTCCAGCTCACGTCCACACATGCTTCTACCTCGCCCTTTTTAATCTGGGTGATTGTGGCCCCCAGAAGTTGCGTATTTAGTCGCGTTGCGTATTTAGGCTGAAACAGGCAGGGGTGGGTGGAGATTGAACCAAAGATCACTATGTGCTGCAGCGCAATCAGTCGCTCCAAGCGCTCCGAGCAGGGGTGCCCCAATATTTTTTACGGCGCAGGCGATAGACACCTCAGCAGCGGCGCTCACGCCTGATTTGTTGCTCGTGGACATGGACTCTGCCGCCGTCACACATAGCAACGCGCGGTTACGATGGGAGCTCGGATTTCGGATTCTGAAGGCGCGTGTATCGCTGGGGAGCGCTTCGCGGAGACGGTCTGTCGCTGGTCATTACAGAACTATTAACCCACCTGCCCCCCCCCCCCCCCCCCCCCTTAAAGGGTCGCCGGCTGGACGCCGCTTCGTGGCGTCCAGCCGGCGGCCCGGGCCCCGCTGTCCCCATTGCACCTCCGGAAAGAAAGTCCCGTAGCATTTAGTTCAGCAAAGTTTCGTCGACAAACATTCGTTTTTTTTTCAATATTAGTCGTAAAAAAGAAATGTCATAAACACCACCCAATGCCTCGACAAAAAAAAATGTTCAAGAAAAAAAAAGTAAGCCCACACTGTGAATTTAACCGGGGTCCGCTGCGTATGAGGCTGACACCTTACCACTAATAATAATAATAATAAAATAATCATACATTTTATTTCTCCATCACATCCATGATGAAAGGAGGCCGAGGAAAAAAGCTGCATAAATGCAGCTTCACGAGTTCTCGGCCCCGCCCTACGATCCGCAGCAGTGGCAGCTCCCAAAGAACACAAAGTAAAAATAAAAAAAAATAAAAAGAAAGATACAAGCTCAGTTAACAAAAATAGCGAAATGTGTCAGACCGACAATTCAAAATATGATATTGCAGAATGGAGCAAATTTAACTTTAACAATTCAATAAAAAGTTATGATAATCACAAGAAAGCACACATATTCAGATATCTAGAGAGCATGATTAAGCACTGTTACATAAATTATGATAACCTACAAGCTTATGGCGAACAGACATAGTAACTATATATACGTCAGGACACTAGAACATTGATCGATCAAAGTTATCAAATTACACTCTTAAGAAAGGATCGGATTTCTTTCGGTGTTGATGTTGGGAGGCTCATATTTCGAGTGCTCAGATAATTAAGTAGGTTGGGTAATACATTTGCTAGCATCTCCTCACCGTAAGTTGTTCTGTAATTCCGCACTTTCCAGTTTGCTATGTTGCGAGTTGAATATATTGGAAACCTCCTCGTCAGAGACGCTAGCTACGCTAGCTAAGCTACGCTACCTCTTCGGAAGCTCGTTTAAAACGTTGCCTATGTCTGACGGCGGCAGCGTCCGTTTCCAGGAGCTAGCCAATCCGGCTTGAGCGGCGTTGCTAGGGGGTCTATCGCCTGCGCTCTAAAAATATGCTGCCCTAACACACTCCGCCACCGATCCCCCTTGTACGTGGGCGGTTCGGTAGTGAATGCGGCTATTTTTTCCAGTGGGTATAAGGAAGTTTATTGTAACGTGACCGGCCCGAAGCCTAGACAGTACCTTGGGTGCCAGTTTATTTCTCTGAGCCAACGTAAGCCTCGGCTGTCGTATTCTTAAATTCTCGCTTAAGACGCTCTACTCCGTAATTGGGTTTGCATGTCTCTCGCAAAGTACACAAATGCGACTTTTTAACTCACGTTGCAACCTTGTTTACCGTTCTTTTTATTCCGTCTGCCAACGAGGATTTGATTCGTCGAAGTCAAAACGAACTTACCGCACCGTTTTCCTGCATCGACATCATCGATTCTGTGATGCAGCCAAGGCTGCCTCAGCTTCCACAGCGCTGTAATTTCATGAAAGCTAGTTGCACTAGCGCGTAACTTTGTTTGGCGTCCCTCTGGCAGGAAAGCGCGAGCAGATGAAGCGCAAGACCAAGCCATCAGCTATCGCAGCAGTGCTGAGCTGCAATACTCAAGCCGTGCTTTTTTTTTTTTTTTTGGTACCTTACTTTCAAAAGTCGGTCATGTGACCAAGAAATCTTTCGTGCCAGGGTTTTAGCCGTCAACAGAGATACCTGCATTCAACAGAAAACTGCCTTTGTGGTTGATCTGCTAGAGTTAACGTAGCCAGAAACATGGGGATGCCGCATGATTATTTAAGCAAATTGTTTATAACAATGTTTCTCAAATAAGCTTGATTGCAACAAAGGTTCAGAAATGCCATGATTTACACCATAATTGAAATCGTCGTGTTTTGATTTTTCCATCGCGGTTAAGAAACTATTTCTATAATTCTTCAACGTTCTTCTTTGCTGTGATCTTTTTACGGCAACTCAACCGTAAGGCAAAAGGTATATAATATTCAAATTGGCTCTTTCTAAATGGAAAAAAAAACTTGAATTTTGCTATGTTTTTTTACAAGCTCAATAATTTGCTACGTAAAATATTTTTATCATTTTGTCTGAAATCCACAGTTTGTATACAATAGTTCAATGTGGCAAGTATGCAAATGAGTTTTGGACCTATTTTAGCCAGTGGTAATTCGGATATTGTTTCTAGAAAACTGTCTTCTCCTAAGTTTTATTTTGTTTAATTTAGGTCGTCGCGCAATTTAAAAAAAATATCGTCTAAATGTAAAAAAAAGAGAAAACTTTAAAGATGCCCGTGATAAAAACAGTAGAAACACTCTCAGCGGGAATCTCAATTTTGTTCTTTTAAAATGGTAAAACAGCGCTAAAAGACACGGACAGGGAAGATGTACGCACACGAAGCGCTGACTTTCAACTGTTTAATTTCTGAAAAGACGCCCACCGTCGTGTCCACATATATCCAATCAGATTACGTCACTCGGCTGTATGTGGGCACGACGGTGGTCGTTTTTTGTTTTCAGAAATTAAACAGTTGAAAGTCAGCGCTCCGTGTGTGTACATCTTCCATTTCCGTGTCTTTTTGCGCTATTTTTTACCCTTTTAGAATGCAAAACCAACTAAGCCCAACTTCCCATTGTGCTCAGTTTCCTTAATTCTGTGCCCCCCCCCCCCCCCCCCCATTCTGAGCACTCGCTCGCTACTTACTCGCATAATCAACATGCTTGTGGATCATTATCTCCGACCGCGAGCCATCAGCGAGATAAGATCTATATTCGGAACACCTCTTAGATCACAAGGCATTAGTGTTAGGCTGTCTCTGTAACCTCAAAAAGGCCATCGCAGAACACGGAAGGTGGGGCGCGAGTAATGCCTCAATTTTCGGTTGAAAGTTATGTTCTCACTATTTCGGCAAGCGTACTAGTCGTACGAAACGTATTACTTGCTTCCAATTTTCAAACGTGGTCGCCTCTCATAGGGGACGTAAAAATTACAGCACCACGGCACTGTCGTAGAGGAGGTAATTATTAGACACCCCTCGGCTCATCCGAACGAGGGTGTTTAACTCGGTTCAACGTTTTTAAATCCCAGGGCTTAGCCGCCATCCTTTGGGTCATCGCCGCGGCTTGCTGCCTGACATGCGTCTTCATAAAGTTTGACTGGAACCGTGGCCGGCCGCCCACTGGAAGCGCCGCCAAGATGGCTTTCGCCTTCTGGGAAAAAATTATTTGGTCGTTTGCGCTCTCCTGGACCGTGTTTGCCTGTTCTACGAAACGTGGAGGTCAGTACTGAATAATGTTTCCGCTCATAAATTAAGGATGTATATCTTACTTCGAAAATGATCTCGTCTCCCTAATGACTGTTTCTCAAATTGGCCTTTGACTATGATCAAATGCGTTGCGATCTCTTTTGACCGCTTATGACAGACGACCACACTCGCGCCATCAATCGGGGAGCCCTGAAACGCCAACCTTCTGCGTGTAGTCGATTAATGTTAACGTATAAGTCTTAAAATTTGGGCTTAAAATATTTAATGATGTTGTTATTTGCGATGATTTCTCGTAGACTCATGTATAGTCTTCAGATATAATCAGGAAAATCCCGCAAAACAGTCACCCTAGTTCTACGCAGTTGCCTGACTACACGACGGATAGCGCCAGTATCCCACTGTGTTCCACTGCTTTGTGGCGCGTACTCTCCTGCAAGCTTTAAAAACAAGATCCCAACGCACTCGGTCTCAGTCAAACCAAAATGTGGACCATCGTTACTAGTTGCATTAAATATTGTTTCATTTCAATCTTGGTGGATGGGGTACCAAGGAAGGAAAAAAGTTCTTTAACACAGCTTGACAATCCCTTGGCACCCCTGCACAAAAACGTGAGAAAAACCCACTTCTTTGGTTAGCTGCTTCCGCTGGAAACTACCTTTGTAGACTCTTTGACTCGTCACCTACTGGTTATTCTATCTATTGTTGTCAATCTGTACTGATCAAATATCTCGTGCGTGCCATGTCGCGTTATTCGTAGTACTCGCATTCTTTACAAAATCATGCACTTCTCAGTTACCTTTCTCACATTGTTCCGGGTTCCAGGTCTTTTGCAGAGGTTTCTCGCATGGAAAGTCTGGATTCCATTCAGCAGGTTGACGCTCGGCTTCTATATTATTCATTTTCCCTTGCTCCACTTTGTATACAACTCATCAAGGGAGAGGATCTACTACTCAAGGTTCAATTTGGTAGGTTGCTTTTATCTTCGTTGAGTGAAGGTTTTCAGAAGCTTGCAGACACTTTATTTTATTTTTACAAGCATATTTATTAACTCCTATAAATAACTAAAAAACCGGTACGAATGTAGAATATCAGCAAATTTAGAATGGTTGGGAAATAAAAACATTCAAGGTCTAGAATCCTGTCCTTATTAGGTGCTTTACAGTGTAAACATGACTTATTTACTATTCAGGGAATTTATGCAGCCAATTAGGCAGTGTGCGTGTCAGTGCAATCTCCATTCAAGTTATGATAAACAAAGTCCGGTCAAATTTTACCAGGCGGCCGTGAGCTCCTAAATTTAGTGCTGGTGCTAACCAAAAGCTCCGCTGCCAGTGTTCTTGCATTAAATGTCATTAGTAGATCACAGAAATAGCGACTCAGCTGTAGCTGAATTTTTAACTACAATTTAATTAGTAATAAAATTTGATTTCTACAATTAACCTCTCAAACTAAAACGTGGAAAAGCGCCAAGGTCTGGTTTGTACTAACGATGTCGGTGCAGAGAACGTACGCATGCATGTATGTAATGGGTGCGGCCGTAAGGACCAACAGATTGGCTCGCCTTGCAAAATTTGAATTCAAAATGTGCATGCCTGAAATTGGGCACGCGAATGTAGTTTCGCAAGAAGTCTTACGTATATTTTTTTAGAGATGAACTCTAGGTGCTGAAATATTCATAATAAAGTAATTTTGAATACCGTGGATTCCCCGTGTCCTATGCCAACCTCCTTGTTGTCCGCACACCGGTTTATGAGCTAGCTCCCGGGGGCTTGCTGAGCACAAAAACGCTAAGAACAAATAGTAGAGGTTGACGATGACCAAGATTATCTCAATAATTAATCATTCAATAGAAATATATAAACAAAACTGACCATTTGGGAGCAACCTTACAACCTTAATACGTAAGAACGGCGGAGGTGCTAAAGGCACCTCCGCCGTTCTTACGTGTTTTTTTCAATATTTTACCTAATCCGATATGAGTTGTCACAGTATAATCATTAAGCTTCTGACAAAACTGCGTTCGCATGCTCAATTTCAGGTGCGTACATTTGAAATTCGAATTTTGCGAGGCGTGCCCAATGTGCTGGTACTTACGGCCGCAGCCTCTGCGTAAGCAATTATATATGCTACTTTGTGTATATCTCCGCCAGAATACTCGCATTGACAGTTGCATCTCGAAAGCTTCTCTAAAAATTAAAACATGGTTCCAGTTCAGTTTTTCTAATAAATAATGGTTCTATTGCTGTTCCAGTCAACGTCGTTTTTCGGCATCATGGCCTGGTGCGCTATTCTAAGCTACTTTATGTTTCTTGCGTGCGAAGTGCCAACGGCAACACTGTGCAAGCTTGTCTTTTCAAGACCGGCTCCAAGAAAAAAGGAAAAGAAAGAAAAAGATCTTCCTGTGTTTGATTTGAAGCCGGCTACTTCCAACACGGACGTCAATTGCTGTGTCCTCCCAGCCCTTAAGCAGAAGAATGGTTTTGTGTACGAGGCAACAACAAGTCCGTTCAGTCGTTTGTAATTTATGCATCTCTTAGATTAGCGGTCATTTTGTGTATTTGAGGAAACGCTGGTGGCCCATGTGCACCCTGGGTAGCCGCGTCGGCTTCCTTCATTCATTGTTATATCGAAACTGTGATGAATAAAAATCGCCATTTTCATTGTTGAAGTGTGGTTGGAATAATCTGCTTTGATTTTGAATTGATTGGAACATGCTTTTTGATATTTCTTCCGGGTTTCCAGGCATAGATCTTTTGGCTCAAAACGCACACAAATGAACTTTGAGCTAGTTCGCACGGAAAAGTTATACATCGTGCTGTGAAAGGAGTATTTACGGGCTCGGTTTAAATTAAATATTTATCTCCAATTGTCAAACATTTATGATCTTAATTGCAGCAAACAGAGAGCCTAACATGGCATTAGGTATGCAAGTGCTTTAGAACTAGACACTAGCAGAATCGAATTCATGATACATATTATGAGATTTCAATTATCATTATGAACATCAAGGGGGAACACAGCTCAGAAAACATGGACTAGGAGGAGGAACATACACGAAAGGGCAGTGCTGTACTCCTAAGTGAATAATTTAATAAAGGAAACAAAGACAAAAAAAGAAACATGCACAGTGTCTTAAAGGATTGCGCACAAACAGACGACCACTCTCGCCAACTGTGAAGCGCGTGAATAAACTACCCGTTCACTGTGTGACTCATTCCTTCCCGCAGGAAGTTATCTCTTTTGCTGACAGCGCCAATGATGGTTCACTAACACATGAATGACCATGACACGAAATGTGGAAGGCCTCTATAATCTCTCTCGTCCCCCTATCCTTGTGTGCGCCCAGGACGGTCACCCTGCCAAAGTCCAGGCCGACATTTGCACTCTCTGCAATGAACGGGCAAAAGCCCGCCAACCGTGGCTCCGAGCGAATATGTATGTTCTCGTATTCTATCATTCGAACATCTTCCTGTTTGGCCCAGGTAGCACCTATTACATGACAAAGGCATTTTACATACCACATACCACCAAGTGACAAAAGTTTTTCTGTGCGCCTTGGTGCGCTTCGCACTCGAATGACCATCTACCCCCGCACCAACCCTGGAACATATCTGGCCTTTTTTGGGGGGTACCGAAAACACTACCGGCATTTCACATCTACCACCAACTTGTTTCAAGTTATGGGAAACGCAGTGGAGGTGTCCGTTTGGGCTATCGTCATTGAAAGGGGCACGTGGCAACTGCAGTTGGCGGCGTTTATACGAAAACAACTGGCTCCATTGGACGTGGGGGACCCTTTTCGGGGCGGCCAACTCATAGGTGGTGTGCGATTTTTTAAAAGACAATGAAGCCAAGAGGTGATCGGCCTTCAGCGCTGACGTTGAGGATTTATTTTCTTCACTACCTCATGACCAGCTGTTTGCCCCCGTTAGAAATTGTATTGAAACGAAGGGGGAACTGGGGTTTAGAGACTCCAGTGGACTGGCCATAGAAGACTTTCTAGAGATGTTCCAATTTTATCTGAATTCTATGGCTGTATGCTGGAACAATTCTTTGTTCCTACCAAAGCGAGGAGTGCTTATGGGGTCCTGTGTGGCTCCGATTTTGAGCGACATTTATTTATCCGGGGTCGATAGGGCTTTGGTGTGTGCTCTGGGGGCATCGGCTGTAAAAAGGGTGTTTCGATGTGTAAAATATATTTTTATTTTGTGTGAGGGGGCAGAAGAAGATGATACGCGGTGTTTCGTTTTAGAAGCATCTGTAAAGTGGGGAGGGGGCCCGAGGTTCGCGTGGGAAGTGCCGAATGAAGGGGTTCTACAGTTCCTGGATTTGACAATGTACCCGGGTGATAAGACAATATGTTGGTCGTCTTGCTCGCGTTCCAGAAAGCCAATTCTAGATTTTAAGGCTTTCCACTCAAAGGTGGCTAAGAGGTCCATAGCGGTGTCATGCCCTAGGTCGGCCCCTAAAAAAATTATGTGCCCGCAAGATGACCGAAGGTTTTAGAAAACAAATTGGTAGATTGAGGAGTCGTTGTTCCCGTTGACACTCTTGGTTGTAGTAGCAAGCTCACTTAAAAAAGCTAAGGGGGTAGAGAGGACGAAGCCGCAACGGGAAAAGAAGCGTGTGGTAGTGGTCCCCTACCTCCACCGCGTTTCCGAAAACTTCAAACAAGTAGGTGGTAGATATGGAATACCGGGAGTGTTTTCGGCGCCCCAAAAAATAGGCCAGATATCACCGTAGAAATATCCAGAGATAAGGAGCTAAAAAGGAAAAGAACAGCACCGCGTCAAATGAGACGGTGTTGCTCTTGTCTTTTTTAGCTCCTGGTCTCTAGGTTTTTCTATTATGATTCGTCACTAGCTCGCCCGCGTCTTTACTCTAATTGTTTTAGGCCAGATATGTTCCAGGGTTGGTGCGGGGGAGATGGTCGTTCGAGTGCGAAGTGCACCAAGGCGGACAAAACCTTTTGTCACTTGTATTTCGTGTGTGGTATATAAAATACCTTTGTCATGTAACAGGTGCTACGTGGGGCAAACAAGAAGATGCAGTGAGTGCAAATGTCGGCCTGACTTTGGCAGGATGACGGTCCTGGGCACACACAAGCGTAGGGAGAAGAGAAATTATAGACCCTACTTAAAAAAAAAAAAAATTTGGCGCATATATGAAAGTAAACGGGTTCATACCGGTAACAGTTTAGATATACCGGTCACCAGCTTGTCAAAGGGGTCGCCCGTATGGCTCGAATGGGTCCCCCGTATGAGCCATAGCGGTCACCTATTTGTGCAAACAGGTCACTCGTCTGATCAAATGGGCCCCTCGTTTGAGCAAAGTTGTCGCACGTTTGCTCAAACCGGCGACCATGTTGCACAGACGGGTGACCGGTGACCTGGCAAACTGTACCGGTTTAATCAAACGGCACTCCGGAGCCCGTTTGATACTGAACGTACCGATCGGCGGCATGGGCACGCCTATAGGCTCCTTGCACTGACGTCACATCGCACACTTTTGAACACCAAGTAAGAGGAGGAGAGGGAAGCTGCTTTTGTAAGAATTTTGAGTGACGGGTTAATCTTCTATAATCTTCTGGGGGGAGAATAGCGACGCCTGTACAAATCCGGGAGGCACAAAGGAGGATCCTGATAAGAGGGGAGCTCCTTCTTCCCCTCTTCTTTGGAGGGCAACGGAAGTGACGTCCTGTGCAAGGAGCCTATTTCAGCCGTGGTAGCCTGTTTCCGGAAAGCCGCGAGAGCGCCGATTTATCGGTTTACAATCGCCCGCGTAATGCAAGTAATAATATTTATATTTTGATTGCGCTGATGTTCGCTTATACTGCAACTGCAATAAGCGATGTTTTATACGTAAACGTGCGACGTCGGTGATCCGATATTCTTGACAGAAAAAATTCGGCATTCTTTGTGTCCTCAATTTACATATTCAGCTCGAATCTCTCACGCAGAGGACGCGACCGCGTGAAAGAATGTATTTCTAGACTTCATTTCACCTCAATTCAAGACTCAACGAAGGTAACGCGCGAACACGTGGCTGCAAGAGCATCGAGCATTGCGAGAGCAGGCCCGCCGTTGCAACAGTCAAATTACGAGCTCGCGCAGGGTGCTTTTTTGGCTCGGACGGAAGCCGAGCTTCTGGCCGACGCCATTGCCAGCGTTCCAGCGTGCTGAAATGCGCGCGTTTCGCCTGCTTTCCGAGGCTGCAAACGCGGCCTGCAGTGGAAATTCGAAGAGAGGAGGAAAGCGGGTGTACAGCGGTCGGTGCCCCCCTCCCCTAGCATTGCCTGCATTGCCTGCATTGCCACAAAAAGCCAACCGCAAGATAAAATAGTAAGGGTGCAGGCGAGCTGGTGATTGTTAACCATGATGAAAAAACCTGAGACTGGAGCAGAAATGAACTTAGAAGTCGAAGGAACAGAAAGCGACAGGACGACGTTTTTCTGCCCCAGTCTCACGTTTATTCAACATAACCAACCGCAATTTTTTTTTATAGAATGCATGAGGAGAGGGTTGGGGGGGGGGGGGGGGGGGGGATGCACTTACCATGTGCATTCCCCCATCGTGTCCCGGTGTCCTGCGCCTTGACCTTGCCGTCGCTCCTTCTCTCCTCTCTGGTCAGCTCTGTCCGTTGATCAGAGAGAGGGAAGGGCACGCTGATAAGCATAGCCAGATCCGGCAGCGCGCGCATTGGCAGTCGCTTTTTTCTTCGTCTGCTTGTTGTCCGTTGCAACTTCGTTTGTCCTGCCTGCTTCGATCTGCCGCCTTTCCCTGCGGTCTTATTATGATGTCTCTCCACAACGTATGGGATGTGCACCAAATGTTCGAAAAGTCCTACGCGTATATTGGCAACAAGCGATTCTTCAAAGAAGTCAGGAATTCTTGCGGTTTGGTTGGGTTCGGCACATGACAGCTTGAGCGCCGCATCGTGTTGAAACTTCAAGGAGCCTTCATTCTCGTTTTAGTGTTTGTGCGGTTGTCCTGCTTTGACCGTGTTGAAATTTATCTTGGATTACATCTTTCAAGTCCGCTGTTATTATGGTAAGTGCATTCCTACCTACTTGTTGGCAACGATTGACCGTTCTTCTATGGGTACACGTCCTGATTATCTATAGAATTATGCAGCGTCTGTTCTCGCGGCAGCCGGAAAAATAAAACGCTTGTTAGTGAGTGCGTTGGTAATGATGTAGGTTTATAAAGAGTTATATACGTAAAGACAGGGGACGGAACAACACATGAAAGATGTGTTGTCCTGCCCCCGTCTTTACGTATATAACTCTTTCTAAACCTACGTATGGGAGAATATTTTTTCCGAAAATCTGCCATTATAGTCTAGGATTACTTCGGTTCTTGTATGCTTTGCAATCATCTCAGTTGTATGAAAGCTTAGAGTGCCTCTTCCCATTTCGCAGATCGCTCGCACGTTTATACTTGTCTACGGAATAGGCTGTAATAAACTTTTATAAGAATTAAAACAATTTTTTCTGTATTTTTTATACCCATTTGCAAGCACCTGCGCGAGCACATTTTTTCTACGTGTTTCCTCCCTGTTATCAATAGGCTTATGAGTTTTGGGATGTCTTAAAAAAGTTTAAGATAACCAACCTTCCGGACGATACTCATTTAGGGCTGGCAAATAATTTGCCTATCCGAATGGCGCGTTCAAATGTGTGGT